CCCTGTCTGTGAACTCTGGACTCTCAGCTCCATCTCTTCAACTCAGGAAGTCCTCAGGGCTCTGCTTGGGGACCTCCCAGCACCATGCCCTGGAAACTCTAGGGAACAAGTTGTGAGGTCCTTGTAGGATTCTCTCATTTATTTTCCATCTCTTAGAGATTACTGTCCTTCATTCTCTGAAGTCCACAGTTTTAAAAACCATTATTTCACATATTTTACTTTTTGTTTTCTTTTGGTTATTTCACTCAGGCAGGTAAACTTGGTTCCTGTTATATCTTGGCCCCTAAATACAAATTTTATGTCTACATGTACATTTATATTGGGGCATTATCACTACTGCTACTTCTACTACTACCATAGCAGTAACTGTGATTGACTTAAATTTCCTGTGCCAGCAAGTTATCATTTTTTTCAGAGAGTATATTTAATAAACATATGTCAAAGGTAATAGGCTACAACTCCCTCCCTTGTTGCCTTTGTAGCTTGTTGGGGACGTCAAGGCACTCAATAGAATCCAGGTCTATTATAATAATATGAACTTATAAATTCTTTTGAAGAAACCAAACACTTACCGTAAACTAACCATGTTAACTGAACAAAAAGCAAAAAGGAGCATGGAACCGGGAACCTGGTAGACTTGGGCCTTTTATTACAACAAAGATGCCATTCAGTTCATCATTACTGAAAGCTATACTCATGGAGTGGAAAAGGCAGGTCAGGATTGTAGGCTGCTTTCATCCCCACCATGCACAGAAGAAGGGTTCTGATCACCCATCAGAGGGTTCGCCCAGGGATCTTTGGACCCAGGACACTTCTAGCAGCTGGGACTCCACTGCCATCAGCTCTGTGCCCTGGAGGGGCTCCACGTGCAGCTGCCAAACAGGCCACCAGGGCCCCCCCAGGGGAGAAGGAAAGTGGGCCAGCCCACCAGCCATCCTCTGTTCCCGCTCCCTTGGCAGGAGGTGCAGAGGGCAGGCCCGCTCAGAGCCAGCTGGCCACCTCCCCTATGCAAACCCAGCCAGTGGGGCTGTACCGCCCCGTCTCCATTCTCCATGGCTGTACGGTCCCCCATGCAGCTTCTGGAGGAAGTGAATGCTGCTGGCACAAACAAACAGCCCCTCAGTTCTGCTCCTGACATGCTGTTGCCAAAATTCAGTCTGAAGGAGCTGAAGGCAAACATAAACCTCAGCTCCTGCCAGAGAGGTTGTTTAAGCTAAAAGAAACCAGCGAGACCAAGCAGCTCGACTGCTCTAATTTCCTTGCACATATCCACTGTCAAACTGCAGGAGAGATCCCCCGCCCACTGCACTTCCCCTGGAGAAAGAAAAAAGTTCTTCAAGAAACCTGTCAACTCATTTATGAAAAACCAGCTTCCACGACAAGATTCTAAAAAAGGCGGGGGGTGGGGAGTGTCAGGAGCACTGGATTAAGCGACATCTTTCATAACTTGAATACTGGCTGGGTGGGTGGACTGGTAATAGAGGAGCCTTAGGTGGAAATCACACCCACCCAGAACTGGGCTTCCTTCCCTTAAACCCAGACCCTGAACCCCTCTGCCAGGCTGGTGAAGCTCATGGTCACTTCTCAAAATAATGTTTACAATGAATAAAATACAATATATGAGCTTGTAAAGAAAACCAGTTAGGCTGAAATACAGTTATCAAAATAATAAAGAAATGTGAAATAGAGTCATAAATGTGCTTCTTCACTAATACATTAGATGACAAGATCAAGCGGAAGTTCTAAAATCTACCTTCATCCCAAAGCAGTGATGAGTATCTGTGACATTTCAAGATATCTGTAAAGTGATGGGAAAGTAGATGATTTCTTTTGGCGACAACATCATAGGTGCTTCATTGCCTACATTCATAACTGAAGTGAGCACTAGATTTCAGTGAGAGGTTCATGAAAAGAAAAATGCAAAGTTGTTTTCACTCAAGTTTACAGACCCTCCTGAATTCTATTCACAAACCTCTCTGTGGGTCCTGGGACTCCTTGAAAAGGAAGACCTTTCTTTTTCTTGGCTGTTGGGAGACAGCACTGCACTGGGAGACAAAGGGGCACATCCCCACTGACTTCCCCTCTAACAGCTGAGAGACACCCCGTAAGTCAAAGAATGTGCACTGTCTTGCCTAGCTCTCTACTTGCAATGAGGTCTCGCAAAGGTTGGTGCAGAACCCTATGCCCATCTCATCACTGGTTCTCATCTGTGGTGTAATGACCTGCTTCTGCCATCTGCCTCTGCTCTAAGGAAGCAATAGGGCTTATTTATCAATGTGTTCCTGGTATTAAGAACAGGGCTTGGTACACAGAGGAACATGAATATCCACTTACTAGATGAACAGATGAGTGAGTGGATGAAAACTTCTCTCTCATTATAAAAAAAATATTCCTTGTTTCATACCAGCAGTTCTCAACCCTGTCTACATGTGAGAATCACATCCTGAGATTTTAGAAAATCCTGAGACCCAGGCTATACCTCCAGAAATTCAGAATCCAGTGGTTGGGGTGGGGCACCGGCTTTTGTAATTTTTAAAACCACCCCAGGTATAGCCAAAGTTGAGAGTCTACAGAACCACAGAGCAGTGGCTGAGGTGAGAGTATAATGCTCCCATATGAACTTCCCTAGACTTTTAGAAGGATGAAATTAGTGCAGAAACTGAACTCTGCAAGGGGCTAAACATATAAATTGAGTTTCTGACCTTTGGAGTCAGGTCACAGTTCTAAATCCAGCAACATCCGAAATATGTGAACTGCATTTTCAGACTTAGATGAAAAAAATCCCAGGCTTGATAGTGAAGACCATGAAACAAATTGCAACCCCTCGGGTAAGCCCTGCAAGGCCCCTCGCTCCCTCCCCTCACTGTAAGAAATCCACAGGTCTGGGCAAGCAGCACACCTTTGCGTGAAAATTCATAGTTGTGTACTTTCCTCATCTATACGGTGGAGATGATAATAATAATGCCAACCCTAAAGTAATGTTGCAGGGACTGAAAGAAATAAGGGGCCAAAAAGCATTTTTAGGTAGCCAAACATGCTACCAAGATTCTTTATTATTATACTCTACCAACTGAGCTCGTAGCGGTGGAAAGACCTAATGACTCAGATTCTAGGTCAGACTCGCTCATGCAAATTCTGGCACTACCTCTTACCAGCTATGTCATCTAATACTAATTATTTAACTCTTTGGACCTCATTCCACCTCCCAGGGTTTGGGGAAGGTTTGGCTGAGTTAACGTACTTAAAGTACCATTGGTTCTAGAGTTGGTAGATGGAGACTATTACATTTAGAATGGATAACAACAGGTCCTAATGTACAGCACGGGGGACTATATTCAATACCCTGTGATAAGCCACAATGGAAAAGGATATTAAAAAAAGAATGCACATATAAAACTTGAGCTTTGCATCAGAATCACCTGGAGGTGATCACCTGACGGCTGAGCCCCTACACAGAGCTTTTGATTCAGTAAACCTGGGCTAGGATCCAGAAATTTGCATGTCTATCAAGCTCTGCTGGCCTGGCAACCACACTTTGAGAACCACTGGCTGAGAACAATGCCTGGCATACAGTAAGTATCTAATAAGTGTTAGCTGTTACTATCTTTCCCTGGCCTCTAATTTTGTAGTCCCTGAGCAAAGCAGTTTCTGCTCCACTGTTACTCAGAACTGCCTTCACGAAAAAAATAAACTTAAAAAAGTTTTTTTAAATTTTGTAATTGGATACAGCCAATTAACATGTTGTGATAGTTTCAGGTGAACGGCGAAATGACTCAGCCATACATATACATGTATCGCTTCTCCCCCAAACTCCTCTTCCACCCAGGGTGCCACATAACATTCAGCAGAGTTCCCTGTGCTATAGAGTAGGTTGGTTAATAAGTAGGTAGGTTAATAAGTAGGATAACTTATTGGTTATCCATTTTAAATACAGCAGCGTGTACAAGTCCATCCCAAACTCCTTAACTATCCCTTTTCCCTGTCCTTCCCTCCTGGCAACCATAAGTTCATCCTCTAAGTCTGTGAGTCTCTTTTTGTCTTGGAAGTAATTTTGAAATCTGCTAGCAGTGGTTCCCAAGGTGTGGACTCCATGAACACCACATGGGAGCTTACTAGTAATGAAGTTCTTGGGCCCCCATCCAGATCTATTGGATCAGGAAGTAAGGGGTTGAGGCTCAACATCTTGTGTTCCAACTAATAGCCCTCCATGTGATTCCGAAGCACAGCAACTTTAAGACATACTGCTCTGTTAGAAAGTCACCATTACCACCACAATACTCCTTTCAAAAGTGAAAGGCAGGATGGCTTAAAATCCAGAGTAGAGTTTTTGGTTGAACTGGAGCTCAAGAACGGACTCAGCTTCTTAGTCACTGTGTGGCCCTACATGAGTTGCAGTACCCCTCTAAGCTTCAGTTTCCTCATCTGTAAACATGGGCATCATCAGAGGGCCTACACTGCAGGGAACAGACATGACACAAAGTGCTTGGACACACACTACGTGTTCAAAGTTAGCGGTCACTGTTATCCTTATAATCACAATGACATGTACACTCTCAAAATGATTTGGGATAGCTTATAACTGATACACAGACAAAAAGGTGCATAGGATAGCTAAAATAAAGAGTTTTAAAAAAAAGAAATAAAAATGTCACACACAGAAGGTGGAGCGAGGGAGGGCTGAAACTGTTGTTGCACTTGTCTTGCAACTTGAGGTCTGGACTTCCCTGTGGGCCAGAGTCCAGAGAGAAAATACAGAGATCCTGGTTTTCACTGCATGAATAGAGGAAGGAGACCAACTCTTTAGGGGAAACAATACCGTCCCTTGGCCACACCAGCTCTAAATTCTAGGAGAATCTGCTCACAGGAACCTGTTCACAAAGGCCCTGGATAACAGAGGGAATCTCCTCCAGCAGTGCTTTATGGACCTGTTCCTTTAATCCTCAACAAGAGTCAAGGGCAAAAATCCTTAGATCCCAGAAGATGAGAGAAGTTATACTCACTTTGGGTGCCGAATGTCAGGGAGAGAGCGATTCAGGGAGATTTTATCGCTGACGTAAATGTTAAATCCATTTTCTCGGTACGCCTGGTCCACTCGCTCAGCATAGGTCAATGGGAAGGGCCTCCCTTGTTCTCCGTCTCCTAGGAGCAAAGAGCAAAATCAGGGTTGCCAATTAAATGCAGTGGGAAAGGGAAGAGGAAAAACGTGCTTAAATCACTAAGAAAAGTCCTTACACTTGATACAGAGTGTTTCTCCAGATTCTGCAGGGCTAAAGAGGGGAAGGGAGTGAGACTCAGGCATGGCTGGGCCATGCACTGCAGCTCTGTCCTCCTGTAACCTCCACAACAGGCTGTCAGGGTGGACGCGTGAGCCCTCTTTCTACAGAGAGAAAAGCCGGGACTTGGGACTTCCCTGGTGGGCTAGTGGTGAGGAGTCCGCCCGCCAACGCAGGGGTCACAGGTTTGATTCCTGGTCCGGGAGGATCCCACATGCCATGGGGTGACTGGACCTGCATGCCACAACTGCTAAAGCCAGCGTGCTCTAGAGCCAGGGCTCCACAGCAGGAGAAGCCACTGCAACGAGACGCCCACACACGGCAACTGGAGGGTAGCCCCCACTCGCCACAGCTGGAGAGGGTCCAGTGTGGCAACAAAGACCCAGTGCAGCCAAAAATAATAAGCAAATAAAATTATGCAATAAAAAAGAAAAACCAGGACTCAGGTTATAAAAGTAGGTCTCTGGGCTCCAATGCCCATGCTTCCCCCGCCCTCTGCCAGGAGCCCCTAACATCCCTGACCCTGAAGTCTGCCACCTGGATGGGAGGCCAGGTCACCTCCTAGGAGCTGAACCACCTTGGGTCAGTCATACTAGCTCTGTGAACTGTAGCTTGTTCCTGTCTGGTACCCACACCATCCTGAGATAGTCAAACGAGAGGCTGCATACCTGAGAGCCTTCTGTAAAGATAAACCCTATTAACCATTTGAGGAAATACTGTGATTCCTCTCCAGGCAACTCAAACTTTACATGTAAATCAAAATTGCCACAAATGATCAAAGATGCTTTGATTTTTTTAAAGTCAGCAAACTAATGACGATCTGCCTTGCCTAGGCCTGAACTGCCTGAAAAGTGTGGCTCTTAGTCAGGGATCTGGGTGGATCCAGTGCCAGCTTTCCTTTCTCTGTACCAGCCATCTGGGGAAAGAGTCCCTGATGCTCCAGGAAATTACCCTCTGGGTTTCCGGGGGGCAGATGGTATGTGCTGATGTCCCCCAACCCCTGCAATAATAGACCAAGCACCTGCCATTGGCGACAGAATGGAAGAAATGGTAATAGAATCATCTGAAAATCATCTCATCTTTTGGAGCCCGTGGCCTGAGCAACACCCCGTTTACTTTGCAAAGTAAATGCTGTCAACATCAGCGTGATGAGAAGGTGCAAGTAGAGAGGTGGAGCCCGGGGTGGTGCCTGCTCTGATCCAGCCCGAGGATGGAGAGGACTCTGCTGCCTGTAACTTGCATGGTTCTGGGATAAGACATTGCTGGCCAGTGCCCAGCATGATCCCACAAGGGACACAAATGCGGCAGGCAGACAAAGAAGGGCAGAAGCATCTGTTTGGGCAGGGAGGGAAGCTCTGGTGGAGGGGGCAGTGCAGGGGAGTGATTCTGAGTTCAGGCCCTGGAGCTGCACAGAGGGGAGTTTGAAGCCCAGCCCTGCTGCTCCTGGATGTCATCTTGGAAGTGCCTTCAGCTTTTCTGTGTCTTGGGTTTTTCCCTTAGAGTTCATTGGGATGAAAAGGTTCAGTGTGATGATTAAGGGGGGAATGCAGGGCAAGACGCCCGGCACACAGTGAGTGTTCAACTTGGGCTGGTTACTATTATTCTTAATAATGTCACCACTGCTTACTCTTTTCTGGCTAGTGAGCCCAATGTTCTAATAATTCTGGTATAAGTGCCTGGGAAATCAAATGTTTCCTTTCCTAATCTAAGTAGCATTCCAACCCTTCATTCTAAATCACTGGCAGATGTGTCTTTTGATTTCCCTGACCATCAGTTACTATGTCAGCTCTATTCAGAGCTTCTTGTAATCTGGTTTTGTCACAGTGTAACATTTTAAGAAAGAAAATCAATAGTGCTGGGTACCTCTGATATAAAAATGAATAAAACACAAACCCCTTATATTTCTTTTCAGTATTGTAAAGCTATACTTTATCTGTCACCTTCACAACCATACCCTTTGGTTATCAACGTAGGAAGCATGGGCCCTGAGGACACAGGGGAAACCGAGGCTCCAGGAGTCTGGAATTTATCTGAGGGTCAGATGGCTGGTACGTGGCGTCAGAGCTGCTCTCCTGGCTCCTAGGCAGGCCCTTTGGCGACAACTCTCCACATGATTTCTGTAAACCTCACTCATTCCAACTCTGCAGTGGAGCAGGAGCTGTTCGAAAGGCTAATCAGGTGAAGAAAGCTTCAGCAGAAGCCCACGAGTTTCACTCAGCCTTGTGGCTGTGATGCTGGGGAGGGAAAAACTCAGCCCTCCAGACCTGGGTTCAAGTCTCAAGCCTGCCTCTTTCTCACTGTGGGTCTGCAGGTAAATTACCCCACCTCTCTGAGCTTCAGGTTCCTTCTCATCAAATGAGCTACAAAGGTTGGTTAGGGGTTTCATCAAGAAAACGTGCAAAGTGTGGATCGTGGGCCTTTTCGCTGTTGGTGTTCAGTAAATGTGGGTTCTTATTATTACTGCTCCTCATTTAGTGGTAATGTATCTTCCAGGAGGGAGACATTTTCTATCACCATAGAGGTTTCAGGGCAAAGGCTTGAAAGCAGTGGATCTGGTGATGTGAATGGAGAAAGGGGTCAGCTAACAGGTGAAGGAGGGGAGAGGGCTGGCTTTGGAAACCAGGGGAAGGGATAATGGCAAATGGACAGGGAGTCAGCAGGAGGTCTAGACGCCCCCATAAAACACACACACACACGCACATGTGCAAGCTCTCTCCAGGGAGCCCACCCGTGGATGCCCAGCCCTCCGTACCTGCACGCTGAGCATCCCTCTTGATGGATTCTTTGTCGTGCCAGTCCTTCAGTCTCTGCCTGTCTCCAAAGAAAAGGCTCTTCTTCGGCTGATTGTGTGAGCCCTTAAAAAAAGACAAAAACTATGAAAAAGAAGAAAAGGGAAAATAAGTTTAATAACAAAGAGACCCAGCGAGTACACGGCCTAAGGGATGAACGTCTGCCATCAGTGGTTCATTCATTAATTCCCTCAGAACTTGGCTACTGCTGCCCACCTGTGCCAGCGGGTGTGCAAAGTTCAGAAAGACGACACAAAGTGCCCACCCTCCGGGAACTTATAAACCTGTGGGAGAGAAAGCAGATGGACAGACACTCCTTTTACAGAAGAGAGAAAGCGGTAAGTATGACACTGACCAAAATATAATGTAAGCTACCAAGATGAGCCACATGTGTAACTTTTTTTAAACCAGGTGAAGTGAGTTTTGATAATGTATTTCATTTAGCTCCATATACTCCATCGAAAGCAGGGGTTCCCAAAACTGTGGCAGAACTGTCTTCCATGAAATTGTTCCCTGGTGCCAAAAAGGTTGGGGACCACTCATCTAAAGTAAGATCAGTTCAACAGGCAGTAGAAGCAAATGTTGAGGTTAAGTCTATGTTTCTTTTTGTGTGTGTAATGAGTCTTCGAAATCCAGTGTGTATGTCACACTTGTGGGCATCTCAGTTCAGCCTCCTTCCAAGTGCTTAAGAGCCACCACTGCCTAGTGGCTCTGCACCGGATGAGGCAGAGGAAATGAACCTGGGGTGAGAAGTTCCGAGAAAGAGCCAGAGGACTTCACTTCTGCCTGGGAGAACTGGGGAAGGGTTCACGGGGGCCTTTGGGCTGGACTTCAGATAAGCTGGAATGCGAGGCAGGCAGAGCGCACACCCTGGGTGGGTGGAGCATGGCAGAGTGGGCTGGGCTCAAGGAGCTCGGAGCACAGGAGGAGGAGTTGGGTCACGGTCCTCTCTGCAGTCCCAAAGAAGGCCCGGTCCCAGAGGGGGGGAGCAGCTGGCAGACATGTGTGGAAGGTCTGAACAAGCGCTCGGACGACTGAAAGAAAACAGGAATACACAGGAAAGCAGTCCCCAGAGGCTGGAGCTGAAGACATTTATTATGTCAGTTCCAGGAGGGCAGTCTGTCCTGGTGGGCCTGTTAAGGAAGCAGTTTCCCAGAGGCTCCATTCCAGCGTCTGGGGTCATCAAAAGGTGCCAGATGCTTTCCCATGCCAAGAGTCAGGCCCAGGGCCTGACACTGCTCCACACCACTATTTGTATCTTTTGTGTTCACCTAGATGAGAACAGCTTTCCCCATGACCTTGCCCTTTAAAAAGCCCGCAAACCTGCTCATGCCACTGTGGCGTGCAGGATCCACTAGTACTATTTCCTGTATAATTACCTACGAAGGCCCTGAACGCGTGGTGTGCTGGAACATTAGCACTAACAAGAAGCCACTGGAATAAAATCATCCTCATACCTGTTTATTAAGTCCCTGGCTGATCCCTGCATTACCACATTTTCCACAAGGGCTCAGTATCCCTACAACAGCTCTAATGATAATAATCCTCAGCAGTGTCTCTCCTGCAGACCTCTCTGACTTGCAGGAAGAAAATTCTGAAAGTGGACATGCCATATGTCATGGTCAGAGAGGGAAAGAAAACTGCAAAAACAAAGGTCACGTGCCTGCAAACAGTTCTCAGGGTCTTAGAAATCACAGGAGCTGAGTGGGAAGTTCCTTCAGGGGGCTTCAACTGTATTGAGCCATATTTCTGCAGAAGACATCTCAGTGCTGCCTTGAGAAGGTGGAGACTGACAGTAAGAGCTTGACCCCTGCACTTCAGTTAGACCAGCAATGCATCTTTCTGTTTTCTATACCGGGGTTCTATGTGAGATTTCATTTCTAAAGGTCCTCTGCTAAAAACAAACTGACCATCAAATCTCCACACAAGCAAACACATAAACTCAAAAACTGATCTGGGGCCACTGCCCTATTTCACAAACAGGAAAACTAAGTCTTGGAATGGGACAGGGATATGCCCAAGTTAAGCACTCTACCTCTAGACGTCAGGATTGGTTGGTCAATCTTTGGTCAATCAGGGTTGGTTAGCAATCTTTCCTCCAGCCCTCCCTCCAATTCCTTTTCCCTCTTCTGCTACCCAAAGACTGAGAACTTCATTGACTATGTTAGGTCACTGGTGGAATGAAAGAGGTTCTACAAACCCAGGCTATCTTAATAGGAGGAACCAATCTTAAGTGGTTCTTACAGTGTGAACCAGCAGCTCTCACAGCAGCTGGGAACTCGTCAGAAATGAGCCCCATCCAGGAAGCAGCAGCAGAAACCAGGTGTGGGGCCTAGAGACTTAGGTTTTTAACAAGTTCTCCAAGAGATTCTGATGCACACTCCCATTTGAGAACTACTGGTGTAGAATTCAGGATGTCATAAGCCTGCCTGGCCTGCGCTGGTCAAACCATACCTGGGCTATTGTATCCTAGTTGAGCAGATATCATCATTGAAGGTCACAAAAAACCTTAGACGTGGTCACTGGCAAACACAATCTGGTGGTTTTTGAGGATTTTTTTTAAACTGCCAGTGTGTGTAGGGGGTGGAAATAGGGCTTCCCAGGGGGCTCAGTGGTAAAGAATTCGCCTGCCAAAGTAGGAGATGTGAGTTCCATCTCTGGGTCGTGAAGATCCCCTGGAGGAAATGGCAACCCACTTTAGTATTCTTGCTGAGAAAATCCCATGGACACAAGAGCCTGGTGGTTGGGCTACAATTCATGGGGTCACAAAGACTCTATGATGTGACCCGGCTCTCATCTCTCATTTGTGTTATTTTCTAGGCCCCAGGGAGTTTGCAATGGGCTTCCATATACAGATATGCATGAGGAAGATTAGAAAGTGTGTTCTATGAGGACTCAGAGATGAGAAGCCTTGGGAAACACAGGAGGGTTTATCTTGTTCTGTGAGGCCCTGAGGCTAGTGTGAGAGCCAAGGGCAGAAGTTACTGAATGCCTGAGGGTTTAACTGAAAACGGAGAAGGAATTCCAAAAGATGGTCTTAAGATGAAACAGGCCCACTTGGAAGAAGATGTTAGGGGAGGCCAGGAACAGGATGCCCGCTTGTTCATCAGGATGTGAAGGAGGGGATAGTTAGGGATCAGTTCACTTCAGTTGCTGAGTCATGTCCGATGACCCCAAGGACTGCAGCACGCCAGGCTTCCCTGTCCATCACCAACTCCTGGAGTTTACTCAAACTCATGTTCACAGAGTTTGATGATACCATCTAACCATCTCATCCTCTGTCATCCCCTTCTCCTCCTGCCTTCAATCTTTCCCAGTATCAGGGTCTTTTCCAACGAGTCAGTTATTCTCATCAGGTGGCCAAAGGATTGGAGTTAGGGCTAGTGCTTCTCAAATTTCCTGTGCAATATAATCACAGGAGTATCTTGTTAAACATGGATTCTTATACACGAGGTCTGGGCTGGGCCTGAGACTCTGCATTTCTAACAAGCTCCTAGGTGATGCTGCTGATCCCCGAAAAACAAGGATGAGGTGACCTTTACAAAGACATTTCAAGAGTCTAAGATTCTGGAAAGGACGCTGTCTCATCTTTATGTTTGTGGAAGTCTTTTCATGTTCTTGGGAACGGGGTACGGGGCTGAATCTTACAGCTGTGACTGCACAGAGATCAACTCCCCTGAATCTCATTCTCAGAATGAACAGTGAACTGCTGAACTGACAGGGTACAGAATGAAGGTTCCAAAATTCTGGGCGTTTCATGCTTAACACCTTCTGCCACCTCACTGCCTTTGCCTTAATGATGCATGCCCCTCTGGAATGATCTCCAGAGATGGCCTGTTTTAGGTGGTCTCAGTTCTTAGATGATAAGTGCCAGTCATTCAGTCGTGTCCGACTCTTTGCAGCCCCAGGGACTGTAGCCTGCCAGGCTCTTCTGTCCATGCAATTCTCCAGGCAAGAATACTGGACAGGGTTGCCATTCACTTCTCCAGGGAATCTTCCAGACTCAGGGATTGAACCCGGGTCTCCTGCATTATAGGTGGATTTTTTGCTGGCTAAATCACCAGGGAAGCATTAGTTTTACTTCTTCTCTAAATTAGGAGGACTTTGGAGCTTGCCAACACAGGGACTTCGGCAAGTTAAACATACAGTTACAAGGAGGTTCTCAAGTATCCAAGCAATGCAGCCTCTCAGAAACAGTAAGTCCACCTTTTTTCTATCTTACAGTCGGGAAAACTGAGGTCCAAAGAGACCAAACTACCCAACCAAGGGCACATAAGTAGGCCAGAAGAGAAAAGGCATGTTCTTTGATTCCCACTCTGGATTTTAGTGGAGAGAGCTTGCAGTGTGGTCTTGGATAAGTTTCATTTTCCTACCTGGAAAATAAAGACACCACCACTTGCCCAAAAAGTACTTTCAAGTGAACCAAGAAAATCACAAACTGTATTAGAAGCACATTCAGAATTTACACACAGAATGTGGGTAGCCTTCAGATTTTAAGGATCTACTATAAATTGACATCTGATCAAATCATCTTGATATAGGACTCAGATTTTACTATGAAAGTGAAAGAAAAGTGCAAGTGAAAGTTGCTTAGCCATGTCCGACTCTTTGAGACTCCATGAGCTATGAAGTCCATGGAATTCTCCAGGCCACAATACTGGAGTGAGTAGCCTTTCGCTTCTCCAGTGGATCTTCCCAACCCAGGGATCAAACCCTGGTCTCCCGCACTGCAGGCGGATTCTTTACCAGCTGAGCTACCAGGGAAGCCCCCCGCCTTTTTTTTTTTTTTTTGTAACTATACATGTTAAAAAGATTTCCTATAATAGGTCTGAGCTATTGGTCAAAGAAGGAGTTGGTTTCAATCCTAAAACCACTGAGTATTCAGAGCCCAGGAGGCCCTTAGAATCATATCCAGAAACCTTAATGAAAATTGTGATCAGAAATCTCTGACATCCACCCATAGAAACCCCACAGATAGATCATTCCAAATAGCTAAATATTTATCAAGATCTACTCTGTGCCAGGCACTGTGAACACAGGTGTGACAACACAGATCCCGTGCAGGT